GTGAAGATTTGTCCAGAGGGGTCTCTGGAAACATTGCCGGGCTTACGTGGCTTATATGATTTTTTGCAACAGCAAACATGAGAACGTGTCAGGATGGACGAGGTTTTGTCGTGTTAGGTCTTGGTGGCCAAACGGGAAGCCCTTGCGGCGGCTTGGCGGTCAGCTCCGCGCAGGATCCTGTATCCTTCGCCGGAAACCGCAGACATGGGCGATTTTGTCCAACTGCCAGTGCTCCGGCCAAAAGAAGCCTAAATTCTGAACACAAAACGGAAACCTCATGCAGGTCATGTGCTATATACCCGTTGTGGGGGTGTGCATGTGGATGAACTTATGTGCATGGGAATGTCTGGACTCATGGAGTCCTTGAAGCTTTAAGTATGCGCTATAAGAGTACATGGACCCTTCAACCCTGAACCTGTATGATATCCTTATAGATCCCGTAAAGGAACCTTTAAAGGAGAAACTCATATACTATATGAATACATCTGGTCTAGTAGTAAGAGCTTTTGCAGACACACACACACACACACACACAAACGCTTCAGACCTTCAACACCCAACACCTCTCCTAAGGTCCTACCTTTTTGACACTGGGCTTGCTGACAACCCAAACCCAGAAGCTGAATGACCCCTGCCTTAAACCCTCAACCCACACTCAAGCCCTGCGTGCACCACCTCCTGGGCTGTCTTCTGCGTCATGTTGGCGGCTTCCGCCTGGATCGGCTTGAAGTGCGAAGTGTGACTGTCGAGAGTTGAAAGGCTTTTGTGTTTGGCGGTGGGCTAGGGGCGAGACTGAGCTTTCTGGAACATTTTTAACGCGCAGAGTGGAGTATGTGTCAAACTGGTGGGTCGTCCATCTGCTGCTGCCGAGTCCGATTTTGTCGAGTGCTCAGGATCAAGACACGACTCGAAGCGGACTGATAAAGGCCGCAGTTTACGCCACTAGGTTGCCGACCCCCGCAACAAAAAAACGGTCCAGCCGACACACATCCCAGTTGGTACTCTGAAGGACGCCCGAAGTTTCAACTAGGAAACCTGGCAGCGCTATCGTACTCCTTGGTGGGCAGAGACATGGTTGCCTCCTTGACTTTTCAGAAACGTCGGGTTGTACAAGTTTCCCACATCGGAGAAAATGAAACCTCTTCGTGAGATTCTGCAAACCGGCAAAGCAGCAAAAGAAAGCCGAATCGCACTCGGCTGTAAGCCTTTCGAAAGATGGCTCTACTCTGCTGGTCGCGGAACGCGTTCATGTCGATACAGATTGTAGTATTCATGATGGGACACCAGCATACGCATGTGCTTGTGCAAACGAGCAACCAACCGAAACAAAACCAAACGATCGCACCAGCAAGATCTGCGAAGCCAGAACTGCGCTCCACTACAAGCACCCCAGCCACCGAACCCAAGGCACCTTCCGTTGGTGATTTTTCACACTCTCAAGGGACAGGCGAACAAGCCTTCACTTAGAGACTTCTAACACCGCTTGCCCTCAATCAACCACTAAAGCGCATGCTGCCGGCTACGGGAAAAAGAGCGGCCCGGGCCTTGACAGACGCCTGGAGCACAGCTGCGAGGGCGTGATCATGCATCTCAAGAATGGGCTAAACTAGCTTTGTGCGAAACCTTGTCAACCTTTGCTTCTACTTCCTGCATTGGGGCTTAACTGGAGCTTCTACACCATTCGTGCACCTGCTGGTCAGGTTGGGCCGTCCTATCAGCTCTTTCGCCGCCTCAAGGCACTCCTGTTATGAAGCTTGTCTGTCTGCGTTCCTCTGACATACACGTGGGTGCTACCGGGAGCATTTAGACCTTGAGTTTTGACTCTCACGCTCGCACCAGGCCGGCAAGGCGATGACTGGTCTCAAAGTGGATTGGAAGGGAGGAACCACTGGAGACAAAACAATCAACAACGATGAACCGCTACAAATAAAGGCCTCATGAGGGGACCTGCACTATTGACTGTGAGCAACGAACTCTCCACGCGCAGCGCAAGCTCTCGCTGCCATCGCCAAGACCAAGCCCGCCTCCACTGAGACCCACCGCAACTTACACACTAACAAAGAACATCACCAGCGAACATCGTCGTGTATCGCAAACAGGTCAACGCTGTCCGTCGAATTTGCAAGGCTATAGATGAAGTATTCTGGGCTGCAAAATCAACCACTCGTCGCTGGCGGTGAAGACTGGAATTGAGTTCTCATCAGGCGAGCCGACGATGCTAAGCGTCCGTTGGTTGTGCAGGCAGTTTTGACTGCACCGAACATCCGTACCAAGCGCACTCCACCCCACCTTACGCAATTTGAGGAAAGTTGACTGCCACTCCGACGGAAGCATCATGTGCTTCAGAGTCGGTCCTGGGTCTTTGAAGCGTGTAATTCGCATCCTTGACACCACCACGACATCGAACCACTCGGTCTGCCCGTCCAGGAACAGGTTGACGTCGACCATCTCCCAGCAAGAAGTTAACGACATCGGAGGGTCCGTTTAAGTACTCAGCAAAGAAGATGCTGAGGCAAAGGAAGCCAAGCGAAAACGACGGGCCGATTCACTGCCGCCCTGTCGAAAGAGAGTCCAGCGCCAACCTGTCCTTTCCAAGATTTAGGCGTTCAATCCTCCCTTGGGCTAGGAGGCGGAACTGATGGGCAGCGTTGTTCTCTGGAAGCGGTGGGAAGGATATCTCCGTCATTTCATCCCGGCGGTGAAGCAACTCTAAGCTCTTTGCTCGGTCTAGGATCTGAAGCTGATGGCGAAAAAATCTGTATCCATAGAGCACGGAACGATATTGACCCCAAGCACCGAAGACCGTTGAGAGCCTGGAGCCATGAATTATGCATCTGCCACGCTTCTCCTTTTTATGCTTGCTTTGCTCCAACCCTAAGCTACTCTTCAGCAATATGTATGCTGAAAGCATTGAGCTCATTTTGAAGTGACCCGGTGTGTCCCTCGAGAATAAGCAAGATGTGGTTTTTGGTGCTGGCGATTATCGTCTTTCGCGATGTTGAGCACTGTGGCTTGGACCCGCTGGACCTCGGGGTTGCGATTGGAAGTGGAGTGGCCCCTGTGTTGCACAATTGGCAGCCCGCCCTCAGTGATGACTTGTGTTGCCGGCATGAATAAATGTTCGGGCGCTCCAGACACTCGGTGATATCGTCTGTATTTCGCACTTCGTATCCAACTTACATGAAGTAGCCGACACCTTCTGCGACATGGTGGCCAGCAGGTCGCTAAGGCAAAGGCGAGGAGAAGAACAATAGAACTTGCAAAGACCGCCGTGGCCCCAGTTTGCGAAAACCGCTAAGAACAGAACCCTGACGGAGGCTTGACGCTGATGTTTAGGGCATTTCTGGTTAAGGATTGACGATGAACTTGGAACAAATGCTTGAGCCGAACAAAAGCTTGGGTCGCAGCAAAGGTGGTGTGGCACGGTGTGATGCAGCTCCCTGCCTCGGACATCTCCAGCTGACGGCGCAGCCTCTCTTGGTAAGGGTGAACTATGATCCATCCCAAGAGCTCCTAGTGCAGGACCCCTTCGGCTTTTCAACGGGTGGGTCCTACCGAAGCCTTCCCACGGAGTTTGGGAACGAATCTATTTCTTCCGCATTGGAACGAACTCCCCGACAATACAGCTACATCCTCGCTCACGGACGAAAGGTTGGAACCGAGGATTTCGAAGCGGCGACTTTTGGCACAGTCGATGCAAGGACACGCAGATGGACGGCTGCGGCATCAAAGAAAACAACAAAGCCCTCTGCCCCATACACTCAATAATTCAGAAATCTGGTAGTCCGAGGCGTCAATTCCTTCAGACCTCAGCCCCGACAATAAAAATTCTCAGAGCAAACTGCGAACATTGATAACACGTATCCTAACCATTCGCAGCTATGTTCAACCCCACGCCAATCCATATTGCCTGATGTGCACACGGTAAAACTATGCGGATGTGAACCAGAAGCGTGTGTATAGCCTTCAGAAATTCAATGCATCGTCGAGTAGGAGCGACTGTACGTTTCAGGCGATTTTCCAGCAGACTCAGGTCCGTTTTCTGCCGTTAAGGGTTCCGGATGTTGTTGCGCTCGTGATCTTGATGCAGTAGACATGTGCACCATGGCGAAGGGAGAATAGCCCGCGTGTGACATGTTCCGTTGAGTTTGGATCTTTTTATACATCCCTAACTGACCGGAGTCCGACCAGGTCTCAACGCATAGTACCAACAAGTTGTGACCGTTCTATCGCATGGAGGTTTGAGTTTTTGGCGACTTCCGCTTTGAGGCGGATGCACAAGGGGTCAAATCTGATGTCTGGAAGTTCCTTGCGTGGCTTAGCCAAACCTTGTGAAAGACCCGGCAGGAAGGCTACTGAGTGCTTAGGACTTGGTTCATCTTAGGAGTTCGGAGCATCGTCCCGGGATCTCTGTGATACCAAAACTGCTGAAGTTCCACAGGTCCCTATGAGAAAAGGGGTTTCAATTGATTCGTTCGAGGTAGCATGCATAGGGGCTTAGTGGAGATTCCCACCTCTCCGCAGATGCGGCTTCGTCGCTAGCATCGGCCCGCAGCGTCTCTTGCCTGGGTCTGCAGTTGCTGCACAACCTCTGGCTAGCAAACTCAAGCTCTGTCCACAGGTCACAGAACCCATGTTTTTGGCCTTAAGGATGCATCCCACATGGTTGCCGGGTTCACAGACTCACCAGGTACGCCTGCAAATCCCAAACCTTTTGTGCCTCTTCTGCTCGGCAGGTTAGCCTCTGGTTCGTTAATCGGAATTTCTTTCCTCAAGCTATCCAAAATCCAATGCCTACAAGTCTAGAGTTTCGTGGTGAGCGTTCCGGATGCCTCAAGCAACTCGTGGCAAAGGCTCCAAAGGTACCGTGACACGACGGAGGGCACAGATGGCAGCTCGCGAAGAAGGTTTGAGGTTGAGTTCAGTCTCCAGATGCCACTAGCCCTCACATGCAACATTTTCGCACGCCGCCGAAGTCTCACTGTTTCCTACCGCGGATCCTACTTCATTCGGACTCGCCCAGAAATCATCTTCCATGCTGGGCGCCCCTTCACCAGCCGCGGCCCTGCTGCAAGGGGATCGTGGGCCGTTTGATGCTGCGTCTCTTTCTAAGGTATTGGTCGCAAAAATTTGTAATTGCAATACGGTTGGATGCAGACCCCTTGGAACGCCAAGCAAGGAATTGTAGAGCTTGCTATGCAATCGAAAGGGGCGCAACTGACCACTATCGCTCCGTGGCAGGCGTTGTCAGTATGATGGATTCGAGATTCAGCTTCACCGTTCGCCGGTTTTCAGGGCTCTTGCTTGCGACTGGGCTCTCTTACTGATAGTTGCAAGCAGTGTCACGAGCAATTGCCCCCGCTGAAGTGGAAATTTCATAGCAGCATTTAAATAAACTGGACTTGTAGACTTGCAGCCAGCCATGGTGTCCTAAGTTCACAGGCAGAGTACGAATCGCATCCGACGATCTACAGGCTTGCATCCACAACTGAAAGCTAGACCACAGGATGAGAACGATGCGCAAATGTGCCTAATACCTTTCTCTCAACCGTTTGACAGAGTCCGCCCGCTACATGTTCTTTGGCTTGGAGCCGCATTGCACGGGGCCGTGGGCCTCTGCAGAAGCTGCGATGGCAGGACGGGCAGGCAAGCTCCTTCCACACAAAAGGCAATGTTCTGAATAAGGGTTCACTTCACGGTAGAAGTAGAGAAGGATTCAGAAGGACTCCCACACAACTGAGCGGAACAATGTCTTCGAGTGTCCTGGTTTTCGCCACATGCCTGAGATGCGGGGGCTTTGCTGAAAACAACTACCAGGTAACTACCAGGAACTACCATCTGCTCTTTCTCTTTCGGAAACAAAGGCAGAAATCTCACTTTCCTGCCGTCTATGTTCGAGCCGTGCGAGTGCCCGACATCTACTCTTTTGGCGAACCTTGGCGTCGCCAAAATTTCTCCCGCTACCGCGAGAAGCGTCATGACAGGCAAACGATTGTCCTTGAAATCGAACAGACATGCAGCACTAGTCTAAACGGAAGCACACGAAAGCTCTCAAGCCCCAACAGCCTGGATAAATCGAGATGCCGGTATGCGCCCTTCGAAACCAAGGATGTCGTGGGGATCCTCGGCGACCCTCTCCAAGTACATCTTCACCTGGGGCGACTCGTTGTCAAGGCTTTTTGGAAGATTTCGGCACGGAGGAATGGACTCTGCAACTGAGTGTCTACGGTAACGGAGCCTGCTCGGAGTTCGGATTCGTAGTGACAAGAAACAGGAAGCCTTGGTGGATCATAGTCTGAAAAACTGCTGCCGGTCCCGTAAGTATTGTTCCTACACGTTGCGGCGAATATATCGGTATGCCTTCCCTTGCCTTTGTGGATGGTTGAAAGCCCATGCAAAACAACATTGCATTGCGTTGCCATCTTGATCATACCTATTGCTGCTAGCAGTTCTTTCCAACGTGCCCAATGGCCGGCGTACCCTCTGCTGCTGCTGCTACTACTACTACTACTACTACTACTACTACTACTACTACTATTACTAGTGGTTGCAACGGTAGTAGCAGCCGTCGTCGTAGCAGCAGCAACAGTAGTAGTAGTAATATTAGTAGTAGTAGTAGTAGTAGTAGTAGTAGTAGTAGTAGTAGTAGTAGTAGTAGTAGTAGTCGTAGTCGTAGTAGTAGCAGTAGCAGTAGTAGTAGTAGGAGTAGGAGTAGGAGTAGGAGTAGGAGTAGTAGTAGTCGCAGCAGCAGCAGCAGCCTAGTAATAGCAGCAGTGCCAATAGCAGTAGCAGTGCCAGTGGCGATGGCAGTGGCAGGACCAGTAGCATTGGCAGTAGGAATAGTAGCATTGGCAGTAACAGTAGGAGTAGATGTAGTAGTAGCAGTAGCAGTAGCAGTAGCAGTAGCGGCGGTGGTCGTGGTCGTGGTAGACGTGGTGGTGGTAGTAGTCGCCGTCGTAGTACACTGCTACTGCCTCACATGCTGCCACTACCACCACCACTGCCACGACGACGACTACTACTGCCACTGCCACTTCCACTACTACTACGGCGACGAAACTACATAAAACAGCGCTACTCGACTACTGCTGCTGCTACTTCTACTGCTACAACAACAACGCCAGTTACTACTACTGCTGCCACTACTACTACTACTACTGCTGCTGCTACTACTGCTACTACTACTACTACTACGACTACTACTGCCACTACCACTACATTTGCCATGACCACCACCACCACGACAACCACTACCACAACTGCTGCTGCTGCTACTACTACTACTACAACAACAACAACTACTACTACTACTACTACTACTACTACTACTACTACTACTACTAGACGACGATGACGACTACAACTCCTCCACCTCCTCCCTGCTGCTGCTGCTGCTGCTGGCGGTTTGGTACTGCTAGAGCTACTACTGTTAGCAGATGCTGCTAGTGCTACTCTGCTACTGCCCCTACACTTTTTACCGCTTCTGCCACCCGTAGTTCTGCTACAACTCCACGAACAACTACAGCACCAACTGCTACATTATGATGCACTGTGACGCCTACTGGCTCTTATTCTGTCTCTGGCGATTGGGGGCCGCGCAAGCGAAGACTTCGTGCCGTTTCGCTTGCGATAGAGGGCCTTGCCCGAATCACCATATGCTGTAGACACAAAAGAATTATTCTGATCGTGGACACAGGACACAAACAAGAGGCGAGCCTCACGGACAATTTGAAGAAAAATCGCTGGGAGGCTCGGAGGCACCCTTAGGCCTAGCCTAGCATCAATCGACGATCGCGACAGCGAAGCTGGAGTTGGGTCCACGCAACCGTACTTGCCACCCACGAACGGCATTCCAGAAATTTTGAGTCCGTGGGCAATCCTTAGCCTACAGTACCCTAAGGCTTGACACTGTTCCATCTGACAGCTTGGGGATCTCACCTTCCGGAAACCTTTTGAGCACTTGGGCACCCGAACTGAGGACACTTTGTAATATGTGAGAGTGAAATTGGCCCTGGAGCTCCGAAAGCAAAGTTAAGTTCGTCCACTACACTTTTGGGCTAAGCCTCGCACCAAAAGCTCACCACAGGTGGAGCAAAGAACTGCCACTTTCTTGTAGCTGTCCTGAGAGGATCGGTTCTGCAACAATGCCCAAATACATGCAACATTTCACCCACTAGAATGGGTCCACTTATAGTCTACCTCCTTCCGTTACTTCAAGGCTTCGCCAGGAAGTGTTTCTAGGGTATTGTGACTCACACACTTGCACAAGGCAGGCATGGCTTCGAGGAGGATACTTAAGCCATGTGCTTTGACATGAGGATTTGCCTGATACAGCTCCAGCAAAATGGTGTCAAGTTCAAGCTCGACCTTAGCGACATGTACGGGTTCGACAGAACCTATCGACAAGAAGCGTCTGCCTCAACCCAGACAGGTTTTGAGCTTATGTACATCCTTCCCCCAGGAAACCCAAACTCCGTGAGCCCCTGCTTCAACGCAAAACTGGCTTGGGTGCAACTAGTTCTCTTGAATGAGCTCCCTTGTTCGTGCCTTGGCCGACCTTGAATTGCAGGACTGCGATATGGAAAGCTTGCCAAAGGCCATGGCCATTCCAATGCATGAGGCTGAAACCCACTCTTGTCGGCAAGGGCTCAACGGCGCTTCCGCGGCGGGGTGCCGCCAGACGCCGGACGGAACCTCGGAGCGTTCAACTTGTTTGACAGCATTTTGGAAGTAGGATCTAGGGTAGGTATGGAGGTCCTCGTGGTGCTTTGCATGGAGACTGCCGCGACACTTGTAAGTGCGCAACTGCTGAAAGAAATAACTGCAGTCAGCCAGTCCGTCGAGAACTCAGTTGCAATTTCATACTTGCTGAAACCCTGAACCCCGAACCGTCAACGTCCCTACACTCTGGACATCCCCAAATGTTCAGCCATGGCTAATCCACCTCCGCTTCGAGGGAGGCCGCGAAGTGCCGGCCCAGTTGCCGCTGGCTTAAGCAGACCCGGAAGCCACATGGGGGCTTCTGACACTAGGACTCAGGTTTGGGGGTTGGGGTAATCAATCAAGTACAGCCTCTAGAGTTTTCCCAGCCGCCTAGCTGACTGCAAATCAAGACACTAAACTCCGTTAACGGACTCGTCGAGCCGCACTAATTACAGGGTTTGGTGAGTTTGGTGGTCTCGAGTTTCTGTGGTCCTTAGGCTTAGCTTCGGGCTTTGGCCTTTCTTTCTTGGGGTCTGCAATGAGAGTTTCTTCCTTTCGGAAACCGCTGCGCTTGATGTTTTCGAGCTCTCGCGGCTCGGGCACTCCAGGCAAGGTTAAAACTCGGCTTGGGGTCTTCGGGGTTTCGTGCGCGATTGCCTGACACTGAGAAAGCTTTATGCTCCGCCCTTACATATAGCTTGTGACCGTGGCTTGGGATTGCCCCACTGGAAGGTCGGATTGCCTACGCATGGGTTACTTCTCTGATGGCGGCAGGTCCACAAGCCCAAACCCGAAAGGCGCTGTCGAAGCTATGCCGCCGATTTGACGCAGCATTCCTGCGAGCTCTATTCACATGCACCCATGACCCGACATCCGCTCAGTACACGCAAGCCTTTTCCAGGGACCATGCGTGCCAGGATGGAAAATTATGTGAGACGCAGCGTCGGCAGTCCAAGAGTCGAGTGCCTGCGGCGGCTGCACCGTTTCAGTCAAAAGACAGGAACAGAGCAAGACATGCAAGAGCAGAATTGAGAGCAAAAGTGAGCGAGCCAGGCAACGAGCGAAAAGGGAGGCAGGAGGAGGCAGCCTTTACAGACAGGTTGAGGAAGAGCATGTCTAGGTTCATCTTCAAGAACAAAGGAGTGTGCAGGGTCAAGTGCCGTGGCATCTCTAGATGCGCCGAGGCCACTTCTTCCTTACGTTGTGGCTTGAGTGTACATCGGGACAGAAGCACATTTCATGCCATCCAAACCACAGGTACAGACTCCCATCATGTGTAGCTCAACTTTTGACTATCTTAATCCTATGCAAGCCCTACGAAACTTTTCAGAGGCGAATCGCATTCCGACGTGAGTGCACAATTTACAACTTCAAGCATTCGGAGGCTGGGATGAGCCGGCATGACCCTCATGATTTGCGGCAAGTGTGCAGCACAACCCACCTCCAAAACCAAGTGCAAGCGAGAACCGCACCAGGGGACCACAACACAGGCAACACAGGCGGGAAGCCACTATGGGCCACTATGGCGTGTTTGGGAGGGGTGGCGGGCGGCTCCGAGCCCTCTTACAACCCCAATGCAACAACGTATGCATAGCCCGCATCCCCGCCTAGGCAGATGCTGCTGACGCCAGCTTCGTTGCTCGAACGCTCTTTGGCATGGAGGCTCGGTACTTCTGGATCACCTCTTCGTGTTGTGGCGTTAAGCGAATAAATGCAGTCTCAAGATATGTGCACCTGTTGCTGTTGCCAGTCGCCGCCGCTGCTGCCGCTTCTGCTGCTGTGGGTGGGTGGTTGATCGTCATCGTCGTTGTGGTTGCTGTTGTTACTGCTGTTGCTGTTGCCGTTGCGGTTGTTGTTGCTGCTGCTGGTTGTTGTTGTTGTTGTTGTTGCTGCAGCTGTCGCTCGCGCTGCTGTTATGACAGTAACGTATTGTGTTTGTGTGTGTGTAGGGTGTGTCATCATCAATGAAGGCTGGTCGTATCGTTTTTCTTGCAGTTCCTGCCGCCGCCGAGATACTTGTTGTGATATTTTGTGGTTCGTACTATTCTTATGATGGCTTCAAAACCTGCATGTTTCCTTGTGGATGGCCGGATGGCGTTTGGACTCTCGGGTACGTGTTTTGGTGCCCAGGTGCGACAGGGCTATAACTTTCTGTCATAGGTCATCTTCTGACTGACCAACTCTTTTCCGTCAGCCCAAGGACCTTCAGCCTTCGGGATCTGATCCATTTTAAGGCTTCGAATCGTGTTCGTCTGTAGCAATTAGATGCTTGGGGTGTCAAGAGTCTCATCTAGTGCCCCCCTCCACTTTCGTTCACCCTCCACCGTTGACCTTAAATCCCTGGAAGCCTCCTGAAAACAAGCCCAACGTTAGCTTCGGTCTCTCGGGCCATTGGTTCTCCCTCCTACCTAGCAACGAAGCCCGCATTGCAGCGTAACTCCGAAGAACAGTTGACATCAGCCTGACGACTTCAGTGGGTTTTGCGGTTTAGGCCTAGGGTTGCCTCAAACGTGTTCCAAAGCCAATACTCACAGGACAGTATGTTTTGGGGAAGCCTGTGATACCATGACCTATCAGATTGGGGAGGCTCGAATGTGCAAGTGTGCATCATCTGGTCTTGCCATTGCCAGGGCTTTGCATGGGAAAACTCGGATGTGGACGGGGATGAGTGGGGGTTCTCCTCGGATTCAAGTTGGGCGGCCAACCTTCAATGTCATACGTTTCGGGAATTGGAGTTTGAGGGTTTGAGTTCGAGGTTTTGCCGAATGAACCACTCAGCAAATGAGCCGACACCAGTGTGTCGAACTAGATAGCGGCACTCTACAAAAAAGAAAGGGGTTCACTTGCCGGCTCTTCAAAAACAAGCGGTTCCTCTCAGAAGCAGCTGCTGGGACGTACCATCGTACATTGCGACGTATTGCGACAAACCCGTCAAGCCCACTATCAGCCAAGAGAAAGAAGCCAAGCATTTGCGAGCTGAAGCCCCAAGGAGACAACCAAACCGCTAAAAATCCGCTCTACCTACCTACCTACCTACGCACACAGACAGCAAAACCCTTCAACCACAGGGCCCGACATAAGCTCAAGCAAGAAAAGGCACCAATGCAAGCTCAGCTCATGACAAGACCCGGCCAAATCCTGGGCCGTTAATCATATCAGTGTCCGCATAATAAGGACCCCCTCTTGTATAACGACACTGTGGGTCTCTGGAGCCCACGACCCACGATTCTCCATAGGCCCAACCTCGTCGTGAAGCCGTGGGCCGTGCTCAGCGCACCACCGGCGCTTGGCCCCCAAGTCCATGCCCTGTGTTGCGAATGAGATCGGAGATTAGCCTGGGGAAGGTTATGACACAGAATTACGTACTGTGCCGGTATATAGCTGTGTCGCATCGGGCCATGGAAGCGCAAAGTGTATACGCATGAGAACTAGAACCTTGAATAGATGTGGTGTCAGGGACGTTGGCCAGCACGGCCTGAGTTTGCTCGTCGACGACTTTGAGCACTGCCGTTGATCCCATCTCACGATTTGCGATGACGACCTCCGGGGTGAGAACAACTTGAGAGTGGGGTACGAGGCGTCGAGATGTGGCTTTGGAAGAGTGGAAACAAAAGCGTGGTTTCAATGCAGCTTTATCAGTGCCAGGTGTTTTCTGCTTCAAGGGCAATCTTGCACGACGAGCGTGTTCGAAGCCTGGGTGCAAAGCAGAACGATGCCCGGCTCGAAACATATCTCCTTCGACCCAAACTCAAATTTGCTAACTATCACGCGTAGCACGCTCATACGTACCTACTTGCGATATGCACCCACCGGATCGTCCGGAAGCCATCCAAAGTTTCAATACCCAGCATCTTTTGAACCTGTTGATGTAGAAAAACAGCACGGCGGCTTGTGATCCCACACTGCCTACTCTGCACCAGGTGTCAAGCCTGTTCAATAAACTTTCAAGCTCGTTTGAAGGGAGCGAAACAAACACCAAGTAATAAACTCCCAAGCGAGACGCCGATGCAACAGGCACAGGGGCTGGGTAGCAAAGAAAAGCCAGCCCACACAGCAACCAGCTGCGTTTGTAGCATCCACTGCGGTGCCGGGCATGCGTGAACGGTGCCCGGACAAAGAGGAAGATGTTGATGATGATGATGATGATGATGATGGTTGTCATGATGGTCGTCACTCTGTTCAGATGCACTAAGTGTAACCATCCGCATCACAAGAAGATGAAGACAACTGGCAGTAGCAATGAGAACGAATTAACTACAAGAAGAAGGCATCCAACCTTCAAGAAGCTGAAGTCTTATGGTTGTAGAATGGAATGCTAAAACTTTGCACTACGATGATTGCCAGGTGCCAGGTAAAAAACAAATAAACGTGTCTGCGCACGTAATTGATGTATGTTTTATGCTGTTCGGTTGGTTTCCTTACAGGGCGTGGCGCTAGTTACGGTTGGGTGTTGGCGCCATTCTCCGGCTGCCTTCCGTTTCGGGGTTCTCTTACCGATGAAACCTATGCCAGTAACATGGAACCTCAGGATAGGAAGGGCCCGGTATAGAACGGTGGCTAAATGGGCTTCCAATGTTTACGTAACCCGTTAAAGCTTCAGCCTGCCGCTTACCACCCGCGCCTTGCCCGTGACTTCACACCGCAGGTCCGAATAAGCCTGGAGGCTTTGGAGTTGCGGGCCGCGCAACTGTTTAAAGTTGTCTTTGCGAAGGCCTTTTTAGGGGAGCTTTCAAGCCACCCCTCCGATAGGTAACCTTCAAGCTAGAGCATAAAGAGTCCAATGTCATGTCAGCAGTCAGTGCTTCTACATGCAACCATCTACGATAGCTCGACTCATGCGTGGCAAACCTGACTTCGTAGACTGAGCACAATCTACCCTTAAGCGCCTGAATGAAATCACCATGCACAAGGCTTTCGATAGCCTCAACCTCAATCAGAATCGCATCTTTCAGGCCCTGTGTGAAACTCCGATAGCCCTTAGTAGCGAAAGCTTCTAAAGCACCACCCAAAAGACGCTTCATATAAGGCGTCTGGATCAGCCCTAAACTTAAGCCTCAACACCTTTGCCCTTCAAAGTTCAGACCCTGTGATTGGTGATAGTCCAGGTCCGCGCTGCCTTGATGCAACCATGGACGCCTGGACAGGGCTTTGCAGAGACTTCGCCGTGTAACCCCAAGTTTTGATTAGGTCTTGGGCCATCTGCCGATCTGCCTGTGTTTGAGGTCTTAAGCTTCAGGGGTTGCCTCACCCTCAACCCCAACCCAGGTGGTGAAGGATGTCAGGAGCGTGGCTGCGGTTTTCGGCGCGAGGTTGAGGATTAGATTCAGGCCGCAAGCCTTGCACTTCCAGAGACCTGTGGCCCAATTCATCCTATGCCATCCTTGTTCCAGAATCCGCTGTCCTCTGATTGGGCTTCCATGCCATGCCCCACTACCAGCCCTCAAGACTAAAGATGCAGCGAAGCTCCGCGAGGCTAGGACTAGGATGGTTGGACTTGACTCAAACAAGCACATTAGAGCACGCCGGCTGCAAGTACCAACTTTCGAAATCAAGCGCTACAAGGAGAATCTTAGTGACTTACTGCGATCACGGAGTGCCTCTGTCTGTCTCCGTGTGTGTGTGTGTATTTGCGACAGTGAAATTGCGAGTACATGCTGCTATCTTGATCATGCTCCTGGCAAGCCGGACTTCGTGCATTTTTTACAGATTTCTGCCAGCGTTTGGATGCATTCTGCCTCAGGATGTTGTGAGGTTTAAACGCAGTCTGTTCGTGCAGTTACCACGCACGCAAACTGCTGTTGATGTGCACTCGTGGGGGCCGACACCAGCATCAAGTCTTTCTTCATTCTCGGTTGTCGGTTGTCGTCATTCTACTCAACTATCCGAACAAGGCTCGCCAACGAGACTTCTATCTCCCAACCACGACTGCATACTGCGTCGCCCAAAGCCGCTGGGACATGCGGTAAACACTCAGTTGGATTCGTTTAGCCTAAGCAGTGTGGGCTTTCCTTCACTTGTGAAGGACACCGGCTTCACATGGTTTGAACAAAATGTCTACTACACTGGTTGCCACTCTTGTACATGTTGATTTTGATGCACATGCGCTTTTTTCTTTCCCGCAGGCCGTCTCAAAGGTTCGAGACTTCGGAAGTCTCCTCTGACAGCATGCTGAGGGCGTAGAGGTGCCCCTGGCCGACACCTTCTCCGATGGCATTGGGGTAGATGCCTGACAAGAAAGAATCCTAGCCTTCGGCCTGACCGGCAATAATACGAAACAGTGCAAACAGTCACAAGCGGCTGGGAAGTTAGGGATAACAGCAACACCTTGATAGCGCGAAACATGCTGACAACAAGAGGCCAAGTACTCACCTTGCCAGTGCTTTCCGACCTTCTCAACATATCAGGTTGGTCTGGGTTTACGCTTTCGAAATGGTCTTGCAAGCCCATGTCAAATAATAGAGCCTCTTGGTAAGAACTATGTCTACATTACGTAGATTCAGGAGTGTTTGCTGTAGACTTGTGTTGGCGACTATGCCAGTCTTGCACAATCACGATCAGCATGAGGATTACTGTCCCTAGTGCTGCATGGACATAGTGCTAATGAATGTACTGTTACTACTTTATTCGGGAATCACATCCTATTCGCTGCATTGTAACATTCATTGTATGTAGGTTTGACGAAGGATTCATCAACAGGTCTGTTTCATTTCACCTAGACTTCCACCCTTCCGGTTTTCCCTTCCTGGCCTTACCCAAATCCCAAACTCTGCTGGAAAACATTTAGCTGACTCCGCCAGGGTGCCCTGCAGCTGAGAAGCTTCGATTCGGCACCTTGCCTGGGGTTCAGACTTCTGCCAAACTATAAACGGCAACATGGGGATCCCGCCTTCGTACAGTCTACAGTTGGCATCATCCAGCTTGGTGCTCAACAACATGAGGCGATGTCGCCATGACTCGGGAGCCTCGCGGCCTCGCTCATGGTCAGGCTGTTTTGGAAACTTTTGTTGTGTTCTGCTTCGTGCTTCAGATTCATTCATGGTGATGATCAGCGCCAGAACTTCCTTGTAAGTCTCAACGGAACCTTCAAAAACTGACTGCTGCAATTCACGACAGATGAAGTCCCCACTCAGACTAAAGCCAATCTCCCTCCTACAATCACAGTCGGCGACTGGTAAACCTAACCTACCGAAACAGGACAGTCTAAATCCTGCAGCTTCTACAGTGCTTGTGGAGAATCCGAATGCCCAGACCAAAATAGACTCGAACTTCTACTTTTTCGTTGTAGCTGCCAGGTCGAGCTCTTCTGTTTCCCCGTCTGCCTTCCTCACCTAGGTTGCAGCTGGAGCAGACTCGGGGTTGCTCCGGAGTTTCGGGGAAGACGTTGAGCTAAAGGCCAGAACCAATCCACGGTTCCGGAACAGGGGACTCGTCTCCATGGAACGTGCATGGGTTCCTGGATTGTTGAATCGGCATACTGGCTGTTATGAACCCAGTGAACTATGCGTGGAGGGCTTCATGGGATCTTTACGGATAATGGTTCAGGATGTTTAGGGCATAGCACGTGGTTGAATGTTGAATCCCTGATACAGAAGGCTATACATAAACTTACCGGGTACTCGTTGTCCAAGTGCTTCAAGGCTCGCTAGACTAAACCCATACGAAACAACTTAGCCAAGTAGTGCTCCGAAACAACCGTTTCGTGAAGTCCTAACACGCCCACATGTTCCAACGTGCAACCAGAACCACTGTAGGCCCACTCTCGGCTCGAAGCACCCGGGATTTTTTCGGACTTTCACAACCCGACCCTACCAAAACCTTTTTGTCATCCGAGCAGCCATGCACGCGCGCACACACACGCGCACACACACACACACACACACACACACACACACACACACACACACACACACACACACACACACACACACACACACACACACACACACACACACACACACACACACACACACACACACACACACACACACACACACACACACACACACACACACACACACACACACACACACACACACACACACACACACACACACACACACACACACACACACACACACACACACACACACACACACACACACACACACACACACACACACACACACACACACACCCACACACACACACACACACACACACACACACACACACACACACACACACACACACACACACACACACACACACACACACACACACACACACACACACACACACACACACACACACACACACACACACACACACACACACACGTACGTAAGAGCCATTAGATGGCATAATCTCAACAACCATTGATGTCATTTAACTGGTGTAATTAAGACAGCTGGCGAAATTGTCATCCACTGAACTCGAACTCAACCAGAAGTCCTCGAATCCCTCAACTCTCAGCTCTGAAACAAACCCGACACTCTACAGCCCCCAACTCAGCCCAAAACATAAAAAGCCCACCAACCTCACGAAACTGGAAAGCCTTCTGCCCCGTTTCTCGTTCCTCTGGCCCAGTGGCCACTTGCCACCCTGGCAGCACTGGCACGTCTGAGGCGAGGTCGCTGTGCCGCGACTCGAAAGCACTGGGGCCGTGCAGCTCCTCGATTTGGGCCGACCCAAGTTTCGGGCCAGGTGAGCTTCGAACACTTTCCAACAGCAGCGTAGGTCGGCAACGAAGCTAGTGCATTGGCGAAAAGAAACAGTATCGGCTGCAGGACAGGAATGCAAGCTTTCAGTCACATCGTAGACGACTTCCGAACCCAGCTGCTCGCATGCCGAACTTTGCATAGCTGTTTACGAGAACCGCAAATCCGAGCCGAGCTGCCTTTCTTAGAGTTCCGAGTTCAGGGCTGGATCCTGAAAATGCCGAGGTTCCATTAGCCATGACAAAGGAACCCAGGCGCAGCGCTCACACTCCTTGGCTTTGCCACTGAGTGGTTCAGCGATGCACGCATTGAGGGCTTTGGACTGAAGAGCTCATTGCTACCGGTTGAAGTCTCGAACCTGCAGAGATGTCCGAACGTGTGTATAAATATGTATTATGTATATAAAGCCGAGGCATAGAGGCGTCCAGCCGTGCGAATCCCGAACCAATTGAAGCGAAGTGAAGGTCTTTTTCTGAAGACCTGCAGCTGTCTCTACGAACACCGGAGACTTCAGAGTGCAATAACACCAAACCAACGGTTATTCGATCGATGAATATGTTCAAGGTTCAGAGCTTTGCAACGCCAAGGTGTCAGCCGCCGCCGGCTCCACCAAGGCCTGGAGGCTTCCGTGAAATTCTTTCGTGCCATGGGGGTGATACCTCATGCTGCTGCCTGGTTTAGAGGGGTTGTAAGAGCGGCTTTAGAACAGCCCTGGACAAGGAAGCTACACTTTGTGTGGATATGTCGGCTCTTCGAACACGTCGTCGTTTCCTGTGCTTCCCCACGGTGCAGCCGCAAAACGGCAAGTATGCCATAGTCATAGATTTTCATAAGTATCTTGGAACAATGCCCCTCTCCCAGAAAGGTCCTTGACGAAGGCCGTCACAGAGTGACCCTTGACCTTGGCCGTTGGCTGAAGTTCCAATGGCACAGGACGCAAAGGGCTTACTCTCTGGCACTTGCACAAGCTAGATGTATTGCTGCAAGCTATACTATACTATACAGTCTGGTTCCTGCATAAGTAATAAACTCTCCCGTGCTTTACCAACCGAAACTCTCTTCATACTGCGCCAGCTTGGCAAATCTTGGCAACATCGCTCAGCCACACGAGCAACTGTTCGTGCTCGGAATTTGAAGGGCCATGAAAGTCTTGCAGGAAGGGTTTGGAACCTTTAAGCGAGAGCTTTTATGCGATCTCGGCCCAGTGGCTTGTCCCGCGTCCACGCAACCGTCGGCAGAGGTGGGAAAGACGCTCTCCCAGAAACAAAGCAGCTGCATCGATTCATGGTCGACAGTGAGCCCTGTTTCCTCATGGAGCTCTCGCCTCCCAGCAGCGAACCTCTAGCGAGGGCCCTCGGGTCGGGCCCTTTTGCTTAGTAGGACATATTCGTTTATGAACCCAAGCATGCATGTGTGTTTTGGGGGCACACAGACATCTGCACCACCTGCACATGCATACATGCATATATGGATATATACATGCATGCATGCTTGCACACACTGCGGATGAATACCTGAGTGCGCATATATATATATATATATATATACCTATACATATATATATATATATATATATATATATGTACATATGTATGTATATATAACATATGTGCACACACACACGTATTTTCATGGTTCAAAAGTGTGTGTGTGTATATATATATATATATATGTATATATACATACATACATATGCACTGCATATATAGATGCAGGCGCTTGGCATGTGTTTTGAAGCCTTGTGTTCTAAACAGAGCCTAAGAACAGCAGCTCGCCCTCATCAACGCCTCCGCCCGGAAAGACCCAGCATCGTGGAAACGTTCGCATGTGTGCGGCGCGCTGCGTGATCAACACGCGGCCACTGGGGTCCTCGACTTTGTGGCTTTCGACCCTCGGATCTTGGCGGACAGGTTTGGCGTTTGACATGTCTTGTTCCGCTCCAGCAGCATATGTTCTCTCTTGGGAAGGCAACCAAGCTCAAGCTCTACAGGGCACACGGACCCTGGACTCTGCCCTCCGCCAATACTAAACCTCGTGATGGTCGCGTCGCGACTACGACCCAGTGTCCTGCGGCAGGACAACCACGGCCAGCTTTACATTTGGAGCCCGTGGTGGCAGGGAGACTCCTCGACGAGCGAGCTCGGCGACAGGGCAATGCACAGAATGACCCCAGGTGGTCCTGGGCTGTGATTTTGGGCATCCCGCACATCTCATCTTCTGCCTCTCCTCACCTCTAGACTCTAGCAGATATCTGTTGGAGTGCCGATCCTAGATGGAGGTTCGTGTCTGCATGACTTACACGGAAGCTCTTCGAGGTGTAATCCGAGGGTCACCGAGTCTGGTAGGGATGGGGCCGCCCGGCCAAAGCGCAAGGGCCGTCGCGGCTGAGGCAGGTGCTCCCTACTCTCGTGTTGCACCGGAAGCAGATGCACATGGCCAGTGGAAGACTCTTCCATCATGACTGCCTGGTCGTCGAAGAAAAGCCCTCTTCTGCGAGCGCTGCTCCCAACTGCATCCCAAACACTGTGGCCGTAAGGACATGACCTGGCTGCGGACCCGCTGAAGATCGACACGGTCGCGGGCGTCTCAGTCATTCGCCGGACGCGGCCAAGCAAAGCAGCTCCTCTTAGCATCTGCAGCTGGCAGTTCCATGGCTTGGCCAACAAGCTCCTGCAAGCTTTACCCCCCAACTGCCGTGCTGCTGTCGCCCAAACCATTACGAGCAAAATCAATTGGTTGTTTCGTCTTTGCACTGATGGTTCGCTTGTTGAAGGCAATTCGGCGCCTTTGAACCCACGTAGCAGTGCAGGTGTTCTCGAGTTGGCAAATCAGAATTGGAAATCTTGCAGCGCCGAGTGCAGACTGCGGCCTGTTCCGCTCTGCATGGCGTTCTGGTAGCAAACTCCCAGAGCTTCGGCATCCATGATGGCCTGCCCGGGTTGTCAAGCTAGTCAGAGCTAGTCTTCCTACAGATACCCCCTACAGCCCTATGCAAAACCCAAGCTTCAAGTATCTCTGCTGAATGGTCCGTCAACAGAAAGACTTAACTGGTTTTGAACAAGGTCAGGATCCCACAAGGGGTCGTGCACGAGGAGCTCCAAAATTCTAATAGTCGAATTACAACACAAAAAAACTGTGAGACCATGCTGGGAACCAGGCTCAGATCGTTGGTGCAGGAGCCCAGGCCGTGGGTTCATTGCTGGCTGTTTCAGGTCTCGGCCCTAGGCACTCGCTTACCTGAGGCTGCAAACTTGCAGCGGGCAAGTCAACCTGCCTCCAAGGAGACCTAAGACATAGGAAGATACACAAGTTTTCACCCAGACTGCGTCCGTGCTGTTGGGCAGACACATGACACATGCCATGGACCGTTTTTGCTTGAATTCTGATGCGACCGTAGGTGGCCATATTCGATCTGGGACAATCACCTGTGGGAACTTCGCGTTGAACCTAAAGAAGTCTTGTGGGACGCATAGTCATCTTGTAGCAGGACCGGGCTCCTCAATGTCTGGGTTTCAAGGCCAGCATGGCACTTCCAGGTTTTGCGGGGTTCAAATTTTGCGGTGTAGTCCTGAAGCCTCAGCCTGAAGCAAACTCTGTGATTCCTTGGAACAATCACAAGTGGGAAACCTTTACAACGTCGTGTGCTGAATTTTGCACAGCTTCTGGGGCACCTGAGTGGCGCCTTGGCTACCATATGGCAACAGTGGATGGGCGGCGTCACCAAGCAAAGTTACCTAAGCTCATGGCATTGAGATGGAGAGGGCTTCGCGCAGCCGTAATTTCCAGACTCAGGTGGAGTCAGCGTCGATAGACAGTGCCGCCTAAGTTAGGTCCTAGCGGTACCAACATGTGTTCACTTGGCAAAGGCACTGTGCATCGAACAGAGCAGTCGAGGTTTGCCGTGCGTTCACGCAAGTTGTGTAAAGCGGAAGTAGGTTCATGACCCCAACCGACTTCGGAGCGAACGCCTAGATGCTGCACAATTCCATACCCATAGCACTCCTAGCGCTGTAGCTCCTAGCAGCCCAAGAAGCCTTGAGGAGGCCCTGACAATCTCACCTCAACATAGGACCCAAGTACAAAACTCTTTGAGAATTCTGCATCGGGGCGCTCTACAGGGTCACAGCGTTGCAAGAGTTGAAGGGAATCGCTGTTTTTTACATGCTGTGGTTATCCGATTTTGTGGATTTTCGGGTGTCCGTGTTTTGGGATTACTGGCTTCTGGGACGAACGATGGCTCCAGCATTGACAGCATCTGTATACAACATCTTGAACCCTACACGTTTGGCCCTGTACATTCTTCAACCGTCGCCCCTCAACCCCTTCCGAAACTTGGGCATTCGTGCCTTTAGGACTTCGAGCAAGAGGCGTTTCCGAAGTCGAAGGTCTCCAAGGGATCTCGATCGAAAAGCGCCCAGCCGATGATACTGTCGCTTCTCTCCTCGGAGGTTGGGCAACCATGGGGGTCTTTCTGAGTGTTTATACTTAGGGCTAGTTGTGCCGAATCTGGGAAGATCCCTCGTAAACAGACAGAGGCCCTGAAGCCAGTTCACCACACTGCTGGAACCCGCTATGCTCCAGACTACTGAAGAATGTGTAAGTTCAACCAGATTGAACCATATGTGTGCAGTGCTCAAAACCAGTCTGTCATGCTGTTCTCAAAAGATGTTGCTACAGCCGAAGCTCCCGCATTACAAACGCGCGCTGCGAATGTGACGCACCGGCATTTTCGGCATTTGCTGACGCACCACTGCCGCTCTTCGAACCCCAGCTGACACGGACCAACCAATCTTAACGCTTGTATACACTCCAGCAGGAAAGGTTTTTCACTGTACCAGTGTCTTTTGGCATCCCAAACCCCGACAACTGCTGCAGCGTGTGGTCGTGAAGTCTTGAAGATCCACACTCTCAAACCCTGCATTCAGCTTGGTGGCCGCCATCTGCAAGGGTGAAAGTCCTTGAAAGACTGCAGAGCGGGGCTGTCTGAACTTATTTAGGCAGCTCTTAAACATCGGCCACCTCCCTCAGCAGCAGGATTCGCCAGGCATGTTTTGAATTCCCGGTCCAGCGAAGCTGTTGGCACCCATTCGCTCAAGCTCCTGCATCGGGTAGACTCGCTAGAAAGCTCTGGGTTGGGGACATGCCGGGTGCAGAAGTCAAAGGTTTTAGGGTCAGCAGGTCTGGACTTGGGATTAAACAAGTGGGCACTCCCGTTAACGGTGCTTTCATGCAGACGGAGAACGATTGAGTCGCGAATTCATCCGAAGGTGAGACGCCAGCTCTAAAGCCTGCCACTGCTAAACGTGATTCTTCAATTCTGGGATTCGATCGCGATGAGTCCCATATTGGGCATTGGGGCCCGGCTTTCCTATGGCCCATTCAACTCCTCTACAGCCGCTTACTTGCAGTAGGCAAAAGTTGCTGTAGGGTTGGATGTCGAGCTGATTTAAGACGTGGCGTCTTGGAGTTGTAAATGGCTCAACCTTGCTTTTCCAGACCGTGCAGCGTAGGACTGAGCTTCGAACTCACGGCTGCCTGAACCCTAAACAGAATGAACATCGCTGAACCACGGTCTAAAACACGTACAGAAAGCCATGGATTGATTGGATCCTTCAGTCACACCTAACGGCACATAGCAAGCCAAGTGCAGAAACATCGCAATCGTCTCCAGGCCTCTCGGATGTCCTCGGGAGAGTAGTGTCAGCAAACGAACCCTACACCGTCAAGCCTGACAAGGGAAGATCTTCAGGCACCGTCCTTCTTACAAGGCCTTCTGTTCTGAGCCTCGGCGCAGCGAAGTTTACAAGATTGTCGTGAGGCCTTGGAGGACTTCCAGAGTTCTCTCGGTGTGCAGGGAAGCTGAGCCTTCAATTTCGGGATCTTGCCTTCGTAGGCCGCGCAGCCAGGCCGTTTCTGTTTCACCGGATCTAGGGCCCAGGGTTCTTGTTCCGAAAGAGTCATGTGAGTTATGTCTGTCCACGTTCAAAGCTGGGAATGCAACACTTATGCGGTGATGCTATGCACGTGTGGCAGGAGACCATCGGTAGCTGTGGCAGGTCTCCCAAGGTCTCATCTAGAGAAAGATGCTCTGAAGCAAAGCGCTGAAACAGAACATCTGCCCAAGCTGATGCAGAGTTGACTCTAATTGGGCTGCACGATTTCCTGTGCGTACGCAGCAACAATATGAGGAGAGAACGAAAAGGGTGGAGGCAAGCATTCTAGGCTAGGGGCGGGCCAAATCAAATCAGCGTTCAAACTCAGTTGAATCCAGCCTACAACCTGGCCTCGGATTCAGCCACTGCTCCTACGAAGGTTAACTAGCCTGCAAAATCCAGAGGTGCGACTCTGGAGAATCCTTGCAAAACTCATGCCATAAGCAAAGGCAGCATGCCTCACTCCAGACTTTTAGCCTAAAGCCCTACATCCTGCAATCCCCATATCCTTTTGCATCCAGTCTGCGGCGCCTCTACCGGGTCCGCCCTCAAGCTTGTTCATATCCTAAAGCCCAAGACCCCAAAGCCGACGTCCTCGAGCTTGGCCATGGACGTCCAACTCTCCATGCCGCCAGGATGCGGCCTGTGATGGCAGAGGGCATTGCGGAATCATCCACTTGTTTTTTTTTTTTTTTTCATTTTTGGCCTTGTGGCAATACAATCATTCTCTCCTTTCTGGCTACTCTTCCTGCTGGCTTTCTCACTATTGACTGACGCATTGCCTGCATGAGCCTGAGGTTGTTGTGTATGATCTTATTGATGCAGTCAGGCTTGCTTCGCCTTGCTACGACTGGCAGCATCAAGCGCTGGTGGCACAAGGACCAAAGGCTTGTGGGGTTCAGAGCTTTAGGTCAGCAATTGCGGGGTGCGGTGCTTTACAGCCCGAAATTCATCATATGAACATCTCATTCATCATGAATCAGTCTTCGTCTACGTCAGCAGACGTCTTCTCATATATCGTTACCCACCAACATTTACATAAAGGTGCTCAAAATGTCAGCCACCGGCCGATCGCGTCAATTTTTCTGTACGAGCAGGCCTCAAGGTGCAAAAGCCCCAATTGCAGTGAAAGCGCCCTTGCGCCCTCAGCTTCTCACCTGGGGCATAGATTGGTTTGGGGTGTAGAACGAATAGGGTTCTGAATAAAATTTCTTCAGCATTTTTTGGGATGCTACCCAAAATCAGACTGTTCACACAAGCGGCTTTTCAGGTCTTCTCGTAATCTTGATTGAATTCTCTTCTCTCTAGCTACCTCGAGGGAGGTGCCTGTACTCACACACGAGCGGGGCTTTCCAAAGGGTCCTCACCGAGAGCAACCCAAAATACCTTGAACCACGGCAAGTCTCCCAAGCTTGTGTCGGAATTGCTTTGGCATGACCTTTTACACCTGGACCTTAGCAGGCTGGTGGATCACGAGACACCGCCACAGAAGCCAGGCAGCTGATCGGATAGCAAATGAAGTTGCAGGTTTGGTCGCCGCAGAGTGACACAGTACGGCCTTGGCAGAAAGCCAGTGCACCAAAGTAACCAGTGCATGGATTCTTTAATTTCCATACCAAAACCTTGTTCTTGAGGGTATTTGCGGCTCTTGCATGTGTTTGGTTAAGCCAACGGAACATCTTCACGGTTCAAGTCGAGGAGGCTTTCTGTTCGGGTCAGCAGCTGGAGATACTCCTGACTATTTCGGGGCGCCACGAAATGCTGAGGAAGTGCAGCCAAGGGTCCATCTCCGCTGACTGCATCGACCTGATCACGCAAGCCCCAGCGACAGCCAAACCACACTGAAAGAGAGTTGAACATACGGCACATGACCGTCATGTCTTCACAGGAGGGCAGTCACAAACGACAAAGCTGGGCGTATTGACACTGAGACGCACCTCAAACAAGTAAACACAACTCGGGCGGGTCTCAAGGTGTTGCAGCTCGGACTATCCATGCTGGGGTTGAAATCCTTGAGCCTGCGCTCTGGGTTTTTTCTAAAGAATAGAGCTGTCCGGGAGCAGTTCGGGATCTTCCAAGTGAGGCTTCAGCTGGACTTAAGGAAGACTAGCGCATCAGACTGCGCAGTTTTGGTCTGCGGCTCTTTGAAGTTGTTTGAAGCTTCAGAAGCACATCTAAACTCTGCCGAAGCTCCTCGCAAAGGCCGCGGTAAATGGTCCTGCCTGTATACCTGACAAAGCAGAGCCAGGGAAGACCAACGACTGCTACAGCCGCAGTAATATGATTGACAACGATGGATGTGATCGCGCTGCTGCATCGGCTGCTCCTCCCTTGTCCTGAGCACGCATCAGCAGTCCTTGCCACCTTTCCTTGTATTTGTGGGTCCACCCGCTGATGTAAACTCTTCCCTCCCAAGACGCCAAGAGCCATGTGCAGCATCGTGATTCCAAATATCAGATCCCGATTGGGAGGTACCATAGAATATCCTGGAATGCTCTGTCGACTCATTGATTGCAAAATATAAGCACTACGGCGAGATGAATAACGACTACCGGGCTTGTGGCACGTCTGAACGTGTAAACCAGTAAACCATGAGACTTCACAGCCACAACTCTGAAACAGAGGCCTGGACAGCTGGACTGGAAACCACAGGTGACTGGGCCTCCAAAGAAACTACCAGTAGACCCGGCGAAATCCTTCAGCATGAACTCTGCGTAGCTGCGCAAGTTCTAACCCCTTCAAAACGTGACGATGCGAGCACCTGCCAAAGGTGCATCGTCCCAATGGTATTCGGGTTGAGCTAAACACCAGGGCCTGGGGCTGCTAACATCTACGTGGGTCTTGCCTGGTACAGAGAAAACAAAACCTACAAGCAGTATGTTGTTGCCTTCAGAAGCATACAAACCCTCTTTCGGCCATCATCCAACCCGAACAATGCTGAGCAGCACTACCATTACTGACAGCAAGCAAAATTGACAAGTGATGCTGGTTTGCTGGGAACTAGCAACGACCATGACGATATTACTGCAGCAAGCAGGTTTATGCTGGCAACCGCAACGCAAACACGATAAACAAGAATCAACTTTGACAACATGCAGCACTGCCAAGTAAACCACAATCACACACGCCTGCAACGACTGAATATTTACGCCTTGCTCGAGTAATAGTCGCAAACACGGGCAACTTAGTCCGTGTAACCAGGAATACAACACCCAGACACTTGAAGCGGAATCGCCTGGGCTCGGCGGCCCCCAAAAGCGCAGCACGAACTCGGCTCTTGAGACCTAGTCCGATGGACCAGTCGTTGTGAATATTAGGGTTAACATTCATGGCTTAAGCTGCTGCGTTTACGACAAAAAGTGCTTGCAGTTGTTGCAGCCTCCTCCAATATAATCCATGTGACCTCTGTGGTTTCGCAGGGGCGCGATCCCCCTCTCCAGAGAGGGGCCGCTGTATGAAGCAGCGGCGGGAGTCAACCTGGAATAAATCTGAGACCTGCATCGTAAGAGTGGGTGATGTGGTGGCCTGCTCATCAAGGAGCACGGCCCGCTGGGCGACGACCCCGGGTCGTGAGCACTAGGTGTTGCGGTGGCCAGCGCCGGGGCGTGCGCTCCGCCAGCCTACGGGTTCCTACGGGCGAACGAGCTTTGCGCCGGCCTTGAGGAATCCTACAGGCCGCTTTTCTGTTTGGGAGGAGGTCTTGGCGTGTTTCCCACGGCTCTGCCGTGCCTGCTCGGCCCCACCTAGGCCGTCACACTTCCTACGCGGGTGTGGATGGGGAGACACTTGTGTCGCTGACGACCTTTGAGGCCACCGCGTAAGAGTGGCTAGCTAGCCGAGCCGTCAATTTTGTTCTGGTTTTGTTACCTCTGGCTCTTCGTGGGCGAGACGGTGGTTGGTGGTCGGCTCCCGGCGGACTCCGCTCCGCTGGTTCTGATTCGTTTGGTGCTGCAGCCTTTTGCTGCTGGCTCGGCGACGCTCGACTACGGTCGCGATGCTGCTCAACGATGGGCGGGAACTTCCTTGAGGTGCAGCTGCGGCTGCTCACTTCGTGGCACTGTTCTTCGGCAACAGGTCCCTGTGCAGGGCAACATCTGGTCACCTTCTTCTCCATACTGGTCTTTGTCTGTGTGGTGCATTGTGCTGCATCGCATGGTGCGGCGTTTATTCCGTAAACCCGCCGGTGTTGCGGTCTGCATCGACTTCTCGCTCTGCTACGGGGCAGCTCATCCACTTCTCGGAGGTGACTTGAAGACGTTAAACCTTCATCGAAGGGGCACGATCCGGCTATTGGCTCTTTGATCTCGCAGGGTGGAGATTTCGGCATTCAGCGTGTGGGTGCTTAGAGATTAAAAAGGCTCCTGCTGCCGTGTGAGTGATGCTACCTTTCGGGTTTGAAGCTCGGGTGTATAAGGCTCCATCCCATACATGTCCATATAAGCCTTCACTGACACTTCAATAGGTTGCTGGTGACACGGCGAATGAGACTGACGTCTCTGAGCAATGCGCTGCTTCGGACTCTAAGCGGTCTCTTCGAGTTTCGAGCTCCGTCAGTAAAGCAGTTGTAGCTTGAAGAGCCCGAAGAGTATTATTTCAGAGGACGCTTGAGAGATGTTGTGAGAGACTTGGGAGCCTGGGTTGATTCAGAAGAGGTCTTTTCCGTCATGATGACACAACCGACCTTCCGGAAGACCGGTCATGGCAACCTGACGAGAACCGTGCCATAGACCTTGAACCTCGAACTTCAAACTTCCCCTTCGCTACCATGAAAAATGTGCCGGGGCACCGTCCGCAGCGACCAGGAAGTCACAATGAACCTTGGGTGCTACAAGGAGGTTTTCGGGTTCATGGTCTGCCTCCGGCCTGGAGTTGGGATTTACACTTCACTAGAAACTGGGTTTTAGGACCATGATTCCAGAATTTATGGTCGGTTTACAATCTAGGGATCTAGGGTTAAACTGCCGGTTACTGATCACAGTTTCAGACATTGAAACTGCCCGTCCCGACAAGGAACCCAAGACGCAAACCTCGTACTACCAGCGAAACCGTGCATTCCGAAGCCCAAATCCTTTCCTCCACCGATTCGGGGACCTCTTATCCTTCTAGCTGGCGCCTCACCGTGTTCTCTGCAACACCGTCAAGTATTCTTCGGGTATTTTGCATTTCCTATATTCAGCATGTCTTGTAAGCAAGAACTGCGAAATCCGGGCCGGTCGAGCTTCGAGGGCCTTTGACTGAAGGTCTATCAAATGCCGACGGCGTGCTCCTATGTGGTGGTAACTGGACTAGCTAAAGTTCTTGGCCCGTTGGCCTTCAGCCTCTCCTTGTAGTTCATGAGTCGGATGCAGACGGGTGTGCAGGGCGTGGCACAATGAAATAGCTGCGGTTCAAACCGACCACATCCTGAGAATCGCGACGCAGATCCCCGAGTGCAGCAAAGAAGCTGGAGGCAAGACCTGCTTTGCGTCCGTGCTTTCGAAGTGCAGCGAGAGCCTGCCATCCTTGAGTTCCAAAAAAGCTTTCAGGTCGTTTTCCATCAGAAAACCCCCTGGGAGCATAGGAAGCTGCAGGTATGTCTTTGGACTTCCACCCTATTGTTGTGCAATCGGTCGAACATGACGACATCGCCAGGAAAAGCACAAAAAGGTGCGCACTGTTCGTCTGCAGCGTGCATGATTTCTCGAAAACAGTCTGTAAGCAAACCTTGTGAAGCCGTAAGACAACCCTTACCGCACCCGAATGCAGTTGATGAATCGTTGTGCCCAAGTCCTGGAGCCCTCCGCGCAGGCCTCCATCTGCTCAAAACTCACGAAGCTGTGGTTGAGAATAAGCCGCTCCTGAACGGATTCGCCGAGAAATGATATGGATGGCTGACTTTGTGTGGTGATGTCTGTAGTAGGCTCAACATTGCCGAATCAACAGAACTGTTGAGGCCTTGACGCTTCTGAACCGCGACAAAATCAATACTTTGATGTTGCCGCCATGACTGTCTTTAGAGTGGTTGCAAACGTTCATAATTCATGCGCCGATTCTTCGCACTCAGTTCCACCATGCGGTACTACTACTACTACTACAACAACAACTACTACTACTACTACTACGACTACGACTACGACTACGACTACTGCTACTGCTACTGCTACTACTACTACTACTACTACTGCCACTACGACTTCTAGTACTTCGACGACGACTACTACTATGACGACGACGACGACTACTACTACCACTACTACCACCACTACTACTACTACTACTACTCCTCCTGCTGCTGCTGCTACTGCTGCTGCTGCTGCTACTTACTACTACTTACTACTACCTAGTACTACAACTACTACTGCTGCTGCTGCTACTGCTGCTACTACTACTACTACTACTACTACCACTACCAAGCATCTGGGCTCGAACGAAGACTGTCCGTGTGTGTGTGTGTGTGAGTGTAGAAGTAGGCTGCAGGATGGTACTTACACACCTTCTCCTCCTGGCCTGCCTTCTCTCTCCCAATCCTTTTCCACCCCATCCGCAAGCCGCTGGGACCAAATCTCCGCCCGTGGCCGACTTGCTCTGGCCTGAGAGGTGCGAGCCTCAGCTAGTACTGCTACCCTGCATATGGAGCAACAGCCAGGACCTGCCGTCCCTTCTCAGCGCTCCTGCCGATACTTGCAGGCTCAAGCTACTG